TTAGTTTTTGTTTATTTGGGAGTGTTTTAATTTCTCCCTCACTTTTGTAGAACAGATTTACTATGTGCATAATTCTTGCTTGATTTTTTTTTTCCTTTTGGCATTTTAAACATACCCCACTGCCTTCTGGCCTCCCAGGTTTCTGTGGAGAAATCCACTGATAATCTTACTTAGAGTTCTTTGCAGTCTTACTCAGAATTCCTTGTACATGACAAGCCAATACTCTTTTGCTCCTTTCAAGATCCTTTGTCTTTCAAGAATTTGATTATATGTCTCAGGGTCATTCTCTAAGTATATCCTACTTGGAATTCTTCAAGCTTCTGGAATTTGTTGATCCATGACTACAAATTTGGGAAATGATTATTTTTTCAAATGCTCTCTCAGCAATTTGCTTTCTTCCTCAGGGATTCACAGTGTGTATACTGAGCTGTTTGATGGTGTCCTCTAAGTCCCTTTGGCTCTGTTTTTCCTTCATACTTTTTGCTCCTGAGACTTGACACTTTGAAATGACCTATCAAGTTTGTTGATTTATTCTTCTTGCCTATTTGAGCCTGCTGTTGAACCCTTCTAGTGAATTTTTCAATTCAGTTATTTTATTTTTCAGCTCTGATTTTTTAGTTTTTTTAATTATTTTCTTAATTTTTATCTTTTTGTCGACATTCTCATTTTGTTCGTATATCAGTTTCTGAATTCTTTTAGTTCTTTGTCCATGTTTTCCTTCAGCTCTTGGAGCACATTTGAAACCAGTGTCTTAAACTCTTAGATTTAGTACATCCAGTGTCTGTTTCTTCAGGGCTGATTTCTTCCACTTAATTTCCTCCCTCTTAATGGGAGAAATGTTTCCCTATTTCTATGTATGCTTTGTGATTTTACGGGAGGGAGGATGAAAATTAGGTATATGAAAAAAACGGCCTCTCCCAGTGTTTGCAAACTGGCTCCCTGCTGAGGAAGAACTTCAGTAATTAGTAGGGAATGTTCTAACCCTTGGGATTAGCATGGGTGGCAGCTTAAGGTCTTTTTTTGGCATGCATCTTGGCTGGACCTGTGCTTATGATTTTTTTTTTCACTCTCCCCATTTACATGGCTGCTTTTTGAAGTCTTATTTTCCTAAAAGTCTCAGCCACTTTTCAGGGCCTTCTATCATATTCCACTACCTGTAATCTCTTATATCAGGCATTTGCAGGTCTGTAGTCCCACTGAGGCTTTTATAAGCAGAGTCTGATTTGGATTTCCAAGGCTTTTTCCAGCTATTGCCTTTTCCCTGTCTGAGCACTGTGTTAGGTGAAACAGACCAGTCCTTTAACGCAGCTTCCAAACAGATTAAACAGTTATAAGCAAGATCTGCTCTGTTCCTTCTCATTCAAGAGAGGCAACTGGGCAGCTACTTCCTCCCAACTGTGCTGAACCAGGTTTGGGGTTGGGCAAGGGAAGTAAAAGCACTGTGAAATTTCCTATCATTTTGAACATGGCTTTTTCTTGACTGGACATTTGCTTGGTTACTGTAAACATCTGGCTGTTTTCCAGACCTCTGAACGTTACTTTACCCAGGTTCTAGTTGTTTGCTTCATGTTTCCCTGGAGAAACAAGGGCCAGAGCTTCCTAGTCCACTAGTTTCCTCTGGAGCTGATGTTCTTAAACCAACAAGAACTAGTCACATTAACTTTAAGTGGTCTTGGAACTAGAGGAAATGTTGTCCAAATCTATCAATCACCCTAAGGACAGGATGGTAAAATGTGAATATGTTGATTCCTTGATACATTATTTGCTAGACTAATTAAGGACTCTGAATCGTTTCTCCCATTATGCTTAGACATAAAGTCTGTTCCTTCTACCCCACCAAGATCCAAACCACAGATATAAAATTCTTAGTGCTCTTAAAAATGTAGAAGAAAATAAAATTTGTACTGTTGTAGAGCAATGCTGAAGCTGGTTCTCACTGAGATGTGAGGAGCTTATACCACAAGTAACACAGTGCTTTCTTCATCTTGAAAAATCTTGCTATGAGAAAAGTCACCTGAACAAAACCATATAGTTATCAATGTAGTTATTTACAGTTTGATGTAATCTCCTTATCTCATTGTGGAACAGTGACAAGCCCCAAGGAACTCTTCTGCAAGCTGTACTCTAAGTAACAGTGTTAATTACTGCCTTACTTGAACTTTCCATAGACTATTTTTTCCCATAGTTGCAGAAGTAAAATGGGAATGTGCGAAAGATAATACTGATTATTTTTAATAAGAACTACTTTGTTCCATCTCAGGATAAAAATCTGAAAGGCGTTTCATGTTACAGAGCCTTAAAATTTTGCTTTTTAAATGTAAAGTAAAAATAGAACATAACTAAAATTCACCTATAAAGTTATTTCACCTTCTATGAGTTAACCTTGTAGTTTTTATTATACATAACAAAATTCTATTTTTGCAGACTGGCTCCTTGCTCAGGAATATTATTCATTATTAAGAATAATAATATTATTAGACATAATAAAGTAATATGATTTAACCCCTGAAATAGCCATATAAAACCTACATTGCAATGGAGCTTAATTAAATTTATGGCTTTAAGATAGATATTCAGATAATTCTGGCTCTTTGCAGACTTAAATGAATACCTTTATCTAGAAGAGGTTGACTAAGTTTACAATTCATCTTCCCAAAAAGCCCTAAAATGTAAAAGTACACATTACTCTACATGTTCTGAATTTTTTTAAGTGCCTAGCCTAAAACATTTGTATTACAAACAGCCTGTTGAGAAATTGGAACAATCAAACAACAAAATCTAAAAATTTTTTTCAGATTTTAGAGCTCATTTTATCTGATTTATTTGTTTTGTGCAACTAATTTCAACAGAATAGTGCTCCACTGGGAACTCAACAAGGCCTCAAAAAGCAGGATGTGGGGAATTTCCACTCCTGTTTGGTGGTTCCTTTTATTTAAACTTTTATATTTGATAAGATTAGCCTATTAATTTTTTAAATAACTTATCAGCCTTTTTGAATCAAAATGTATATTTAATTGAAGGCTATATTCACACAGAAAGTAAACTTCAAAGTCCTCAAATAAAAGTTAATAAAGCAGGCAGTCAAGAACTTTACTGTTCTACTAGTTAATTTGGCAAAACTCAGTGTGATGGATAATATCCAAGAACATTAAGAAGCTGGATTATGAAGTCTATTTTATTCTGATGACTCTGGTAACTTAACCAACAGTACTCTGTAGTGTTGGGATCACTCAGCCTTTTTTTCTCTAAGTTACCCAAACTTTTACTGCAGTGAAGTAAGTGCTGCCAAGAGAAGGGACTGGTTCTTGTGGCGCCAGTCATCTGGACTAAGATGTCATTTTTCTTTCTGCTTTCTCCTAGCAACCTCTATCTCACACTTCTGTTTATTCCTTCTCGAATGATTTAGTTATTTAATCAGATTGGGTATCTGTTGTGGCTATCATTTTGGTATTACACTGTAAGTTTCTTAATGGCAGGGATCTAGCTATTCAGTTGTGTAGCCCGTGGGCCCTACCTACACATGAGTTGTTCATTTTTCAGCTAGAGGGACTTACTTGTGTACCTGGTATGGAATTTACATATAACCAGTCAACACACGGCTATGTAAGGATGTTCAGATTCTGCTCTGCAGCAGTAAGATATATATATACACACAAACACACATACACACACACACATATACACATCTGTATATGGTATTTGTGTGTACGTGTCTGTGTTTACCGCTTACAACAACTCTTCTCAGTCCTCTTACACTGTAGTAACCACTTCATTGTATCTTCACTGAAGTACTTACTTGGTTGCTTCTTTGATGCCTGCATTTACTCTCTAGCTTTCTGAAGAATCCTAAAGTCACTGCATTATTTTTTTAAATAATCCTACTAGGCTATTACATAGTTATCACATTTACTTACCCTGCTGATTGAGTGTTCTGGTGGATTCTTCAGTTGACTCCAGTTAATTTGGTGACAGTGGTGATAACTACATGCTTAAAGCTGATGAATGATGGAAGTTCCGATCTTAAAGGATAGTTAGGGTTGATGAGGAAACCAGTTTCCACATTTTCCATGGTAGTTCTAGCCCTCATTTACTTTAAATTTCACCATTAAAAAGGGAATGCAATGTTCACTGGACCCAAAGTTCTACAATAGAATTTTTTCCTCCTTTTCATTTAGAAAGGAAACTAGCTGGTAGTTATGAAACTCGGGAGAGTTCTGTAAGATCTAACACTGAAAAGACTTCACCAATCCCTATGAGGGGTTTGGGGTTAAATATAAATTTATAAGATTGTGGAACATGTCATTTCCTTCTGAAACAGATTTTTTAAAAATTCTATTTGCTAAAACACATATGACAATAAAGGTTAGTATCCATTCTTTGAACCCACCCCCATTTTATTTCTACAATTTTGAATTTACACTGCTTCCATCTAAAAGATTTTTAAAAAATCATCTGTGGTCACAAAATCTGAGTAGATTAATGAACTTAGTTCTCACTTGTGGTGGAACAAAGGGTAGTTGGGAGAAAGAAACTTCACAATTTTTTTAAAATTTGGTAAAGTAATACCCTCTTTCCAGAGAATTAATGAAATTCTTCCCTTTATATATTTAAATACTGCATAAGGGATAAAGAGCCCTCGTATGAACCAGGATTCATCATACGAAACGTAAAATTGAGTCTATGGGGTCAATTACCATACTTCATTCGGTTCAGAGCTTTCTACTATCACACCATACACCTGAATAAGAGAAAGTCTTAACATTACTGTAAAAATTCCACAACTGTAATAATAAAGCTGTAGAACTCCTTCTAGAGGAAACATATTTTGATACTTAAATATCTGAAAGTTCAGAAGGCTAAAATTTTCTACCTCAACAATATGACATTAGAGTGAATGAAAATCAAGAGATGAATCTGTCTTAATGCTAAAGAAATATTGCTATAGCATGCACTCACATTCAAGTATGAAAAATACCACACAGAAAACAGAAACATTTTTAAAAAAAAGATTTAAGATCATAAATAGGTCATTATTGTCACAACACATTTCAGAATTGAAAAAACAAACATTTTGGCTTTTTAGGGAAAAGATTCCTCTTGTTCTCTTAATCAATTCCCTCATCACTGAAAGTACATTTAAAAGTTTCCAGTCTCCTAAGGCACGATATTTAGTCAGAATGCCAATATCACCACCCCTGCTCATGCAGCAGGAGTAAGATGCAAGGTATTAGCACTAAAAAAAAAAAAAAAGCAAAATTTTTTGGACAAAATCATCAGTCATTTAAGAAAAAGGAGGAACAGATTAAGTGATGATCATTTAAGAAGGCCCATAGGCCCAGCATTTTAATATAGGACCTTCTGTTTAAAAAAATTTTTTTAATCAAAGTACTTTAACTGATTTAATTCGCAGAGGAGCTATGAAAGAAGGGGACTGGTAAAATACAGCATACTTTAAAAAGGACTTGAGAGGATCAAATCCAATTAGAATAGTATATGGAGGGAAAACACTGTATGGAACCCAGTCTTCACAGCCAGTTTCCTCCTAGTCCTCAGGCCGATCCAGAAAAGTTAAGACTAGGTAATACCTGGGAACATACTCTAATGCATCTGTCCCTTAATCTCATGGCCCATTCTCGCCTGTCACCCACAGATGTACTGAAATACTATATAATTAGATGCATAAATTGTATTTTGTTATCCAATCAAAAAAAGTTCTTTAACAAATGTAAAAATTCCTCATTTTTAATACTGCCTTGCTTTGTCCTCTGTGATACCAACTGAACTTTAAGGTTTTATATGTACAATGTGGTGATTTAGTGTTACTTCTAAAAGAAAACCCACAAAGTTAGTGATTCTCCACAGATGAAACATGGGATGAGGTTCATGACTGGATCAACCATGGAGTGTTAGTCATTTGTAAACTCTTGAAGCTTAAGACTGGGAAGTGTGTGTATCAGACACATGAGGGTACAATAGGACAGAGAGAGGTCTGTTTGTCATTCCAATTCTGACAAGGTGCATGGTCTTCGAAATTCCTGTCCACGTTCATGGAGCCATTTATTGGATACTATGAAAGAAAAAATATATATTATTTGCTCCTACTATCTAATGAGTATTTAATTAACTTTTAAGAACTAGGTCCATTACAAAATTTCTACAAGGGCTAAAGAAAGTTCAAGACCAAATAAGACAAAAACAGATGCTACTTAGGCTGTCTTTTAAGAACTTCACTAAATGTTGGAAACACAGAAGATTTTACATTTGTGTGTGTACATTTGAGAGTCTGTATATGTGCATTTCGTAGCGTTTCTAATATTCATTGTAAGGACTAAAGTGAAACACAAATGGAATTAAAATGTAAGTACAGAGTAGGTATAGACAGAACAAAACATTGTTTTACCTGTTTGCAAAATACAACCTCTAATACAAAGACATTTTTAAAATGAACATAAGTCTCCACTCTAAAGGAGCAACAGTATGATAATGAGCACATACTAGTAGTGATTTAAGTTTCCTGGGTTCCAAGGTACTGTTTCTTGATATACCCCAAAAGGGATTAGCTTTCTACTCCCCCTGTATCACGGAACCCAGTCAATAGTATCAACATGTACAAAAGATCTAAACTAGGACCATATCAATGCTTAATTACTCTTTTACCTTTCTTAACCCCCTGTATCCAATCTTTAATTCATCAAACCCCATCAATTTTACTTTATCTCTTGACTCCATTCTTTGCTCTCCAAACCTTTTGCTGCTGCTTTAGTCTCCAGGCTTATATCATCACCTGTTTAGACAATGGGGAACAGCCACCTAAACTCATCTCTCCTCCTCCACCAGCCTGTCTTCACTCTAGTCCAGTGGGTCTCAAACATAATCATCAGGGGGGAGCTTCTAAGTCCTGAAGATGAGGGATCACGCCTTACTCTTGCTGTGTAGCCTCTAGACACATGTAGCTACTGAGCACTTGAAATGTGGCCCAAGTGACACCCCCTGAAATAGATATATATGGGTTTAAATACTTTATATTAAAACAACTTCACCTTTCTTTTTTTTAATGTGGTCAATTCTATACTTGATGACCCTGAGAGTGATCCCTCTCTAGCCTCACACTAGTCCTGGCCCTGGTCCCTAACGTGCCTGGGAAACTACTGCTCTATTTTCAAGATCAAATTAGAAGATGGTAACTTTCTACATTTGGGGAGACTTCTTCAGTTTACATCTTTGTATTAGCATGTACTATACTCAAATTTATCCATTATTGTCTCAGAGACAACTGTAAACCTCATGAGAGGAAGAGAGTCTAATTCAACTTCAAGCCAATGTTTCTTAGATAACAACTGGAAATAGTGTTAAAAATGTCACCAAAAATCTGACCTGCTAAAAACAAATTTATATTAAGATCAGAAGCTTCTCTGATTGAATCCCTTTCAGTGTGAAAGCCATATTAGGCAAATCTGTCAGGAGGTTTTCATTCTTTTAAGATGTGACTGTAATTTCAAAATAAGAGACAAAAATCACAAACTCAATTCAGAGAATACAGGCAATATTTACCCCATTTGTTTCCAACCAGCACTGGACAGGCTGCGTGTCGTGTACTATAATCTCCTTCTCCACTAGCAAACAGATTATACCAGAAAACAGCAGTTCCCTGTGGAGAATACCAAATTACCCCTCAGTAAAGTATCAGGTTATCACAGGTTATAAATTTTCCTCTGTTCCTGTGGAAATAACTCTCTATGGCATATATCTTTCCCTAATATATTTCTGAAAGTATAATTTACAAAATTTTGGTGATGACATGAAAATATTAAATACCACAAATTTGCTTAACAAAAAAAGGGCATGTGCCCTCCATTTTGCTAGTGTCAGATCTGTTCGCTTCAGCAAACAGCACACAGGGCCCACTGTGGAAACGAAGACTTGTCAGTACAAATCCCCGGTGGTTCGTTGTTTCTAGGGTCTCATGGTAAATAAACTGCCATAAAATTATCCAAAGTTTTACCTAGAGATAATGTAGCCCTTAAGTATACTACTTTTAACAATGTAACTTATCACTTAAACCATGAAATATAGTTCCATCTCTTACACAGGAAAAAATATAGCAACCTCAAAAACTAAAACAATGAACCAAGTTTACCTTTTTGGGCCAAACACTAGCTCCTACTTCAGGAAAAACAGTGGCTCCTCCTGCTAACACATCACTCATCTAATAAGAGACAAAAGAGTATGATAAAAAAAAATGCTGGTAGAATAAAGTTAAATATGCCATTGTGAGGTAGATGTGACATTAACTACTAGAATGAGAACACCTGGACGTGTGCTTACACAGATGGGTGTGTGCATGCTAGTCAGTTATTAAAAGCAAGATGCTGTTTAGGTTTACATACATAGATAAAAGCAAAGGAATGATAGTCAGGAAGGGAGACTGGGATATAATTTGGGGTAGGTTATTTCTTTATAGCCAGAGGTTAAAAGAGGGATGTAAGTATGTGTTCTATAGCACCAGAGTATCTCCTCTATGGGGGCAGGAATTTTCATTTGTTATAGTAGCTCAAAGTAGGTGTTCAATAAATATCTGAATAAGTGAATTTTAAAAATAGAAATAAATACCAAAAAAAATAACAAGCTAAAATCACTTTTGTCATTTCTCATGGTAGGGTATCGACACGTATTAAGTTAGTCTTAAAGATAATGTAGAATAAAAACACACAACCTTTCAAATTAACTGAAAAGCACATGCACAAAATGAAGCAAAGGATGAAGAGGTTTTCGAAAACAACATAAGTAGAATGTAGAAACAATGACTATCACAAAGCAAAATCCAACAGTCACGTCTGAAACAAGCAACAGGGAAATGCTACAGCAAAGAGAACAGAGTTTGATCTTAATATCAAAGTTTAAATCAAATACAAGGTATTAGGTGACATAAAGAAGTGTATTTTACCATGAGAAATACAGGATCAATAACAACGAGCTAATAGCTCTTAAGCAATAAAAATAACTTTGTAGAAATTAAGAAGTTGTGCTCTATGGCCCACCAGCAAATAGCATGTAAATGATGGAAAAAAATAAATGCCAGTCTAATCAAAATGCTATATGTAACTGAAAGGAGACATAATAATCTAACATACAATCTAGTAGTCAAATAATCTAACACTTACAGATAATAGACCAAATATTGTATCAACTTTCATAAAAGCAAAGAATAAGAAGAAACAACTATAGTCAAGCATTTAATGATTCTTAAACGTCTCAACCTTACTAATAAGAGAAATGCAAATTAAAACCACAATAACTGCCAATCTGATAAGTAAAAGATGGACAGACCAAAAGTTTGACAAACATCACACTTAAAGGTGGGAGATAAATTAGTACAACCTCTACAGATCTCACCCCTAGAAAGTATACAATGTAGCAACTTCTCTCCTGGTTTTCATTTAATAATTCTCATTTTTAATTTACCTTATGCATCTGCAATCCTCTTGTAATCTTAGATCCTTTTTTTTAACAGTACCTTAAATCCTTTTCTAATGGTACCTTAGATCCTTTTGGAAAGAAGATGGAGTCGGGGGAGAGAGGAAAAAAATCAGAAGGTGAGAAGGTAGGATGGACATAGGGAGAGAGGGATATAAGAAAAAACGGAAAGAGGAATGGAAGAATTAGGGCAAAAGATTAAACAGGGAAGGTAGCAGGGAGCAAGACGAAAGAACAGACCGAGTAGAGAGAGACAGGTTTTGATAGGGAGTGAGATACATCAGATAGCAAAAGCGATGCCATTTCATACAAATCAAATGGGGTAGGAGATGGAAACAGCGAGGAAGTGACCAAATTAAGTCCAGGTATAAAATCTATCTTTTTAAGTTAACAAAGTTTACAACATGGTAGATTACACTTCCCACATATAACATATCCCAGTATGTCCTATCCGAAATGTTTTTTTTCCATGATGTTGACATTCTTCCTGAGTGGTAGGGTCTGTGTCCCTTCCCCTTGAACCTTGACAGACCTTTATAAATGCCTCAGTTAATAAAATACAGCAGCAGTGACAGCACTTGGCTTCTGAGGACAGCTAATAAAAATGCCACTTACGGCCTTGCTTTGGGAGGGATACTTGCTCTTGGCATCAAGCCACCATGCTGTGAGGAAGCCCAGGCCACGCGCAGTTATTTTGGCCAACAGCTAGTTAGCCTCAACCTCAGCCTTCAAGGCGACCCCAGTGCCAGCCATCACCTGACTGCGAATGCATGAGAGAGCCAGAGCAAGAACCATGAATAAAGCCCAGTCAACCTCAGAACCATGAGAAAAAGTTATTTTAAACCAGTCAGTTTTGGGGTGATTTCTTATGCAGCAGTATATAACTGGGACAAATATTATGATCAAAGCTTAACTTTTTCTATCATATGAATATATAAACTGTTTAAAAAATAAAAGATCATACTGTTTTGAAACTACTGAATAATTTGTGAATGGTTACCCTTGATGAAACAGCTTCTAGGGTGCTGTAATGTGCTATTTCTCTATCTGGGTGCTGATTACACCAAATGTGTTCACTTTGTGAAAATTTAGCAAGTTACATCCTTTGATCTGTACACTTCTCTGATATGATATATATCAATTAAAAATTCAAAAGAAATTTATTAAAATGTGTATATATACATAAATTCATATAAATGCACAGAGATGTTTATATACACATTACAGATGACATAAACAGACAGTCCCACTACCTGGAGAAATTGTTATTTTGGGGTATGGACTACCAGTAATTTTAATTTTCTTCTTCAGGTTGTAGTCATTACAATCTGAAAAAGTTACAAATGAAAGTTTTTACAACTGAGTAAAGGGAGTTTAGAATTTTTTTTTCAAGTAGGGTGCTAGATAAGAGTTAAACAGAACAAACATCTGAACACATCAAAATAAATGAGTCATGTGATCGAATCCCAACTTAAATTTTAGCTGTAACTTACATAGAACAGCCATGTAGCAATTCTGTTTCCTGTTCCCAGCTCTTTGAAAGCATCTGGCTCATCTTTCTGTGAATAAAACACAATTCAGTGGTGTAAAAATTCAGTAATGCAAATTCTCCAGGGGCAGCTAACATTAGTAACATGCCGTATGGTAAGCTAATAACAGGACAAGGAGGTTCATTTACAACGTCCAGTGCACTATATACGACAGGCACTCAGATACTTGTGGGTTGTTATTTAGCCTGTACGTTCAATACTTTTGATATGCCCATTCAGGGGAAAACCCAGATTTGTTAGCTTAAATACTGAGAGCCAATTTCCACTATGCATAGATTATTTGAAAAATTAACACCTATAGTTTTACTTTCTTAAAAAGCAAGACCTGAGGGCCTCTTAAATTCATGAAGTCTATTCTCTGGGTAAAAAAAATTACCTTGAGATTTACTTTGAACTCATGATGCATTCAAATGTTCACTGCTACTATTCTTGTCTGTCTTTGGGGCCATCAACACTTTAGTCTGGCTGGAGAATTCACATCTGGTTATTTAAATGTAAATTAAAATACAGTATAGCCTCTTGGCATTTTCCCAGAAAAATGAATGTATCTTTCATACAGAAATTTATACACATTTATAACATCCCCAAAATGGAAACTACCTTAATGTCCTTCAAAGGGTGAAGGACTAAACTGGTGTATCCATACCATCGAATACTACTCAGCACTAAAAAAGAACACCCTATTGGTATGTTCTGCAAAAACATGGGTGAATCTCAAGGGAGTTAGGCTGAATGAAAAGAGACTTCAAAAGGATACATGATGTGTATAAGATTTGTGACATAATTATGGTGAAGAACAGATTAGTGGCTACCGGCAGTTAGGGACGGGAGGCAGAAGGCTCTGTGCAGCTACAGAGCAGTACTGCAAGGGAGTCTTGCAGTGATGGTGTGGTTATGTATCTTGATTGTAGGGGTAGCTACACAAAGCTACACGTTAAAAAAAAAAAACTACAGACAGATGCGCGCACACACACACACAAATGCAAGTATAATGGGTGAAATATGAGTGAGCTCTGTGGCTCTGCCAGTGCCAGCCCCCTGGCTGTGCCAGGGCTGGTACTACAGTTAGGCGGAGCGTTAACACTGAAGAAGGCTGAGTGAAGGGGGCATGGGATCTCCCTGTACATTTTTTGAAACTTCCTAGGAATCTACAATTATTTCAAAAGGAAAAAGAAAAAAAATTTAGTTACATTAATGTCAGGACTTAAACAGTAGTCTTTCACATTATCCAAGATGCTCAGTTATATTTCAATAATTGGAAAGAGAAAGAAAAGAGACTGAAAATATATTCTTTGCTAGCCTATACGGAAAGAGTCTAGGATTCTGGGATTAAGTCAGTCAAGGGCTATAACACAATACAGACTGTGTTTTCTTTCCAAAGAATATACCCTTATCTAAAAATAGTAACAGATCAAGAAGTTTATTAGGATACCTGGCACATTCCTTAGAGTTCATGTAATTATTATAAAGCATAAATTAGTTAAGATAAATGTCAATTTATAGCTCAATATGTTATTCTCCAGTCTCTATAGCTATTTTCTATTTTTTATCCTCTTGTCTCTCAATGTATTCCTGTAATTTCTTCAGATTTATTGGTTAATTCACTAATTTATTTCAGCCCTCTAATCTGTTTATCCATTAAATTTAAAATTTCAACAACTTTTCTACCTAAAGCTTCTATTTTTCAAATATATTAAATCATTTTGAGAATTAGGATTTTATCTTTTATTTTTAGTATATAATTATATAGTTATTAAATATTTAATATAATTATTAGTTACTTTATATTCTGTATCTGTAACTGATAACATCCTGGGGGTATCTAAACTGTTCATTGTTTTAGTCTCACCAATGGTGTCTTACTACCAATTAGTAAATTTTTTTAATGAATTCATATTTGGCTGAACTTAATTTTTAAAATTCTAGAGGTACTGGAACAAGTATGCTTCTTTTCAGGGAGGATACAGGTTTATTTATGCCAGGTACCAAGGAGCACTACTAACTGAACAACTTTAATCTCTCCTCTTCCAGGGTATAAATATTCAAATCTGAGGTTCACGTAAAGGTAGGCCTATGCTTTCAAACTGCCAGGAGAAGCTCCCTGTAACACATCATACCCAAGCCAGGATGCAAGAAGAAACTCTCCTCAAGGCGCCTGACTCAAAGCAGATTATTTTCAAGGCCATTCTTTACCTGAAGGTGTAATCCTTTTGGAGGCTTAAGTTTTTTGCAGGAGTCTCAGGTTAGCAGCCTACACTGTGGCAGGTCCTTCCACAGGGCTGTTAATCTCCAAAGCTCTAGATTCCTGGAGGTACGTGTCTCCAGTCTCAGCTTTTTTGCTCCCCTTTAACTTTCTAATTTTAATGTCCAGGGTTTCTTTCAGTTTGCCTTTGAGAATTCCCTTTACTTTCTTCAAGGTTCAGCAATGCATTTAAAAGTATCCTAAGGTCTTTTGCTGTGTCTCTAGGCATTCTTTACTGCTAAAAAAAGCTTAACAGAGTATCTATTCTACCACGTGCCCACAAATTCCAAATAGGCTATGAATTTTTAATACTAAAAGAACAGAATTAATTAACATATCATGCCTGTAATCTATAATAAAGAAAGAATATGAAAACGAATATACGCATGTATATGTATGACTGAAACATTACACTGTACACCAGAAATTGACACATTGTATACTGACTGTGAAAAAAAAAGATGTATCATATCTAAGCTTCAGTAGAACTCCTACATATATTTTTTTTAACTTACCCGTGCAAAATCAAAATGGGGTTCGTACTGTCCTCCAACTCCATAATTTGCTACCTGAAGGAGAGAAATAAAGCATGAATAAAAGAAGTATCAAGATTACTACCCAAAAAAAACTGAGTCCCATTTTAGCTCCTTATATACCATGATTATTAGGTGCTTCTAAATAAATGAGAAGCAAAACATTTAAATCAATGAGAGTTCCTAAGAAACCAAGGATGAAAAACTAAGGATAGCTACTGTATACAATTTTAGAACCTTGTTTTTTTTAATTGAAATATATTTGACTTACAATATTATTAGTTTCAGGTGTACAACATAGTAATTAGATATTTTTATAGAATACTATCCACACAAAGTTGTTTCAGAATACTGGTTGTACTTCCTGTCTTATACATTACATTCTTGTAACTTCCTTTATGCCTCTTAATTCCCTTCACCTATTTATTTTCCATCCCCCTCATAAGGTATTTTAGGACCTTAGTTAATATGCTTTTCTTTAGCAAATATTTGGGGGACACGGTTTTCCCTAATACATAACAAAATTTGAATTAGAATTTTAGAATTAAAATTTTCAGATTTCCATTACTAATTTTCACTAAACACTTTCCTTTAAAATTTAAATCAAGATTCATATTTTCCAAAGCCCAAAATGCTGGCAAACTCCCAATCTACTATAATGGAAGTCTCTTTCCTATATTTTTTTTTCCCTACTTAGGTAAAAAAGGGAAAAAGTTAACATCAATTTATTCCTTATGGAGGGCCCTAACAACTTCATTTGGATATGACAATGTCCCAGTGTGAAGCAGCAAAAGGAAGTAAGAAAAATATTTGGTCTAAGTTCAAGTTCTAGATTTCTAAGTTACAATACAGCATATGTAACTTTGGATACAATCTCAGCCTTCTAATTTGTAAAATAAGCAGAATGATACTTTCCTTCACTCCCCCCTTCCAACCCAATGACAAAAAGCTGACAAAATGAAAGGAGAATGTAGTTTAAAGAGCATTGCTTATGCAATGAAATGAGAACATAACTAAAAGAGTGTTGCCCACAGCAAAGTCGAAGTCCTATGTAAATTATTATTACCATAGATCTTTTACTTCTTACGTTGTAGATGCCTTGGGTTGGATCAGCCTATTAAGTTAGAAATATATCAAGCAGCCTGAAAGAGCCTGTGAAGGTTAGGCAGGTGAGAATAAATATAAATTAGGAAAGAAAGACACAGAGTTTTTAATTGTCAAATGAGTACCAAGGAAGTTGTAGATGACTATGGAGTAAATAACTTCAACAAATTGAAATACAGGCAGTCTTGTTTTGCACAAATGCACAAATGTCAGAAACTATAGTTTAGCTAACTGTTAACACCAGCCCCCCAACACCTCTGTGGATATCTAAGTTACCACGGTATATTAACTGTAAGTAATTGCATAAAGTGCAAATATTGCTGCTAGCTCTTCATTCCACAAACTATTATATAAATAACAGCTGCACAGCATGGTCAAGACCAGTCACACCACTTATTCCAAAGTCTATCAGTGATTGGTCATTGCACCTCTGTTAGTTCATGCACAGACAGCAAAAGCACGTAGTTGTGCTACCTCCTTATCTCCCAGTAAAAACCTATGTGATATTTTATAAAAATAGATAATTGGAAGAGGGAATTGGCCAAGAAAGATAAAGTAAGGCAGAGAAATGGAAAGCAAACTGCTGTAAGTGAAATTCAAATCAAACTTAAATGAAGATACAGAAGAAAAGGCTGACAAAAGAGAAGGCTTCCAAATTGTTTCAGAAATTCTAGATACACAGCCAGAGGACCTTGGTAAAGGCAAAGTTATTAACATAAGGAGAGTAACTGATGAAAAGGATGAAGATATCTTGGAGGAAGTGACTCTGGAAAAAATCTTCACCAATAAAAGATCCCTCAGAGATATTTAACATTGAAAGCACAAAGGATACACTGTCAAAAGCTGATCCAAACTTAGAAGTGTGACATAGAAGTGTGACAATCTGCAAAGGCAGAGACAGACAAGATGCTCAATCTGTATCCTAAGTTTCACAATGAGAAGAAGGAAAATAAACTATTGGTAAGTATTTATAAGAAAATAAAACACTGAAATCCTCAATCTTTCTAATGTTTTAAATTACTGAGATAATTCAACAGGGAAGACTAGTCTTCAACAAATGATGCTGGGACAACTGACTATCCACGAGAAAAGAATGAAGTTGGACCTCTACCTCATACCACTTAAAAAATTGACATTAAGTGGATCAAGAACCTAAATGTAAGAAATAAAACTTGTATAAATCTTTTGACCTTGGATCAGGCAATGGTTTCTTAGACATCGTAAGCATAAGCAACCAATAAAAAGAGATACTATATACTATAACATGGATGGAACTGTGAAGATGTTATGATAAGTGAAATAAATCAGACCCGAAAGGACAATTATGTGTGATTCCACTTATAGGAAATAACTAGACTAGTCAAATTCCTAGGTACAAAGTGGAATGATTGGTGCCAGGATTTGAGGTGAGGGAGAGGGGGAGTTTTTGTTTAGTGGGTACAGAGCTTTAGTATGGGAAGATGAAAAAGTTCTGGACGGACAGTGTTAATGACTGCAGAGCAGTATGAATATACTTAATGCTACTGAGCTGTTAAAACGGTATATCTTATGTATATTTTACCACATTAAAAAAAAGGAACAGAAAAAAGACATATCAGACTTCCTCAAAATTAAAAATTTTGTGCCAAAGGACATGAGGAAAGTGAGACACCCCACAGAATGGGAGAAAATATCTGCAAACCATACACCTGATACAGGTCTAGTAGCTGTAACACATGAACACCATACAACTCAACAATAAAAAAAACTCAGTTAAAAAATGGGAAAAGGATTTGAATAGACATTTTTTCAAAGATACATAAATGGCCAATGAGGTCATGAAAAGATACTCAACATCATTAGCCATCAGGAAAATGCAAATAAAAACCATAACAAGATAGCACCTCAAATCCATTAGAATGACCTCAATTAAAAACTGGACAAGAACAAGTATTGGCAAGGAATGTGAAGAAACTGGGACCCTCATACACTGACAACAGGATTGTAAAATCATGCAGCCATTCTGGAACAGTCTAACAGTTCCTCAAATATTAAACTAAAGTTAACACATGACCCAGCAACTGCATTTGTAGGTAATACCCAAGGGAAATTTAAATATTTAATTGTACAAAAACTTGTACACAAGTGTTCACAGCTTTAGTCATAATAGCCAAAGAGTGGAAACAATCCAAATGTCCTTCAACTGATTAATAAATAAAATGTGTTATAGCCAAACAATAGATTATTATTCAGCCATGAAAAAGATCCATAATACAACATATATACACTTTAAAAACATTGTTAAGTGAAATAAGCCAGATATATTAGGCCACAAATTATATTACTCAACTTATATAAAATATCTATAATAGGCAAATTTATACACAGAAAATAGAGTAGTGGTTGCCAGGGGCACTAGGACGGGGAATGGAGAGTGATCATTTAAATGGGGTTTCTTTTGGGGTGATGAAAATAGTGGTGATGGTTGCACAACCATATGAATACAACAAAACCAGGATAAATTTTATGGTATGTGAATTACATCTCAGTAGAAAAGAGAAAAAAACAAAACTATTTAAAAAAAAAAAAAACTGTCCTGGCTACCTAATAGGCCTAGGAATGGGGAGAAAAAAAAAAATCACAATGCACTTAATAAATATTAGTATTATATAGGAAAAGGAATAATATGTATTTATACTCAAGTAAAAATTTTTAATGTTTTGATTAAAAAATTTTACAGGTCAAAGAACAATCATAATTTTCCCCACTAATTATTAAGATCACTTTACATAGTCACTTTTAGAGTCCCAAACCATCCTGCAAACTGAGTACTGCCTGTACAGTGTCAGAAAAATCTCATCTGATGCATATTTTGAAGAAGTATAAGATAATGTGATTACCTACCTGTAGTTCCTCTGCTGTGGAAACATCTAGTCCTGTTAGATCTTGTATTCGCATATTAATTCGAGACACTACAGGGTTTTCATAGCCAGACAGCCAGGCACTAAAAACAAGAAAATATTAGCTTTACTGATAAAGTTTCAATCCATGAAGACCAACAGCTGTCATTTAAAAAGCTGTAATACAGGACAATAAGCCTGTATCTATAGACATTTAATTGATTTGCTTGCTTGATGTGATTCTTACTGATATAATTTTTAAAAGATGTTATCTTCTACAGTTAGAGATTGGAAAGGGAAAATCTAGTATTATTAGTTTCTAAGAAAACAGCTTAAATTAATGTAAGAAGGCTATATAGGACTATATACGAGAATTTTTTTAAATTCTGGAAAAACACATACACCAAATTGTAAACAATTGTTCCTTCTAGGTAAGGTATAGGAACAAGTGTTGGTGATGATGTGAAGAAACTGGAATTATCATACATTGCTGGAATATAAAATGGTGCAGCCACTTTGGAAAACATTTTGGCAGTTCCTCAAATTATTAAACAGTTTCCACATGACCCAGCAATTCCACTCCTAGGCATACACTCATGAAAATTAAAACGTATGTTCATACAAAAGCTTGTATAGATATGTTCACGGCAGCATTATTAATAATGGCCAAAAAATGGAAATAATCCAAATGTCCATCAAATAATAAAGAGATACATAAAATGTGATATATCCATACGATGGATATATTGTGCCATGAAAGGAAGGAGTGAAGTACTGACACATGACACAACATGGATGAACCTTGAAACCATTATGTAGAAAGATAAGTCAGACACAAAAGGCCACACACTATGATTCCATTTATATGAAATGCCCAGAACAGGCAAAGCAACAGATACAGAAAGTAAGTAGATTAGTGGTTGCCCGGGAATGACCCCTAATGGGTACAGGATTTCCTTCTGTGGTGATGAAAATGTTTTGGAATTAGATAATGGTAATGGTTGCACAGCTAAAAAGATTTAAAACCACTGAACTGTACACTTCAGAGGGTGAATTTTA